GTCCTTGAGTTGAACATTTACACATTTCGTTGTCTTTCTGCAAAGAAGAAGATAAATCCACTTCTTGTGGTGACTAATTTACAGCAGATAACTAACGATCTGTGCTGTGGACATAATAAATATTTAAACGTTGTTTTGCTAGTATTTGACAGAAAACAGCGATATCTTTGGCATGTTTATAAACTTTGGTTTAAATATAACTGATATATTGGAGAATCAGAGTGGAGTGAATGAAGTAGTGTCCTCTCTCATTCCCCTCTCCTCTTAGATAACCATTGGGATCCACACAGGAGAAGTGGTGACTGGAGTGATCGGTCAGAGGATGCCCAGATTTTGCCTTTTTGGGAATACAGTCAACCTCACGAGTCGTACAGAAACCACTGGTGAAAAGGGGAAAATAAACGTCTCAGAATACACTTACAGGTAAGAGTAAGGACCGCAGTTTGAGGTTTGAAGGCTTTGCAACATTGTCACGAGAGCTGTGTAGATATTTGTGAAGAAACGATCACGGTTTGACGGAGAGGACAAAACAGACTCCAATCTCTAATATAAGCCAGGAGATGAATAGACTTGTCAGTAGATTCGATGTTCTTCGCTGACACAAGCATGCGATCATAAAGTACGTTCCTCGGAGGCCTGCAGCAGTCTTAGTAATGTATATTTTTCTTGCAGGTGTTTGCAGTCTGCTGAGAACGCTGACCCTCAGTTTCATTTGGACTATCGTGGCCCTATAACCATGAAAGGCAAGAAGGACCCGATGAAGGTGTGGTTTTTATCCAGGAAGCCCACCGACACAGAGGCCGAGTTAGTTTCAGCTTAACAAAAGTCAGAACCGACTAAAACTCCACGAGTGTCTTGAGATAGAGCGTTCAGTGTTGTACTAGTGTAGTCGAAATGTATGATTACGCACATTTTGAGGCAGGAATGAGATAACGAAAACAAATCTATCAACAGACACCCAGATATTTTATATATAAAGAAAAAACCTGTGTGAAATTGTTTTTTGGAATTGTTTTGAGTCTGTAATGTTGCTCTCCAGCTTTACCACGATCGGTTGTGACCTATCTGTTTTTTGTTTTTGAAATATATATTCACATAGAGTCAGTGAAGTGTTCCTTGATAAGGTGAGGTAGCCAACACAGTAAATGACACATTCAAGTTTGGTACTATTTTGGACAGAGTATTCTCACATTGTTCTGTACATAATATCACTGAAGGTTTTTTAAAGAAGATTATTTCCATCTATCTTCGATGTTTTTAGCTGCTATATTTGTCATATTTTTACTAAAGTCAGCCAAAAGAAATGTGAGGATTTATAGTCATTTTCACTTTTTGAGATTGTTTTTTGGGGAGCTCTTAAAGTCTTCATTCAAAGGAGAGGGCAGTGGATAGAGCAGCAAACTGGGATGAGAGACGGGGGAATGACATGTGGCAAAGTTCAGGAGGGAATCGAACCCAGGCTGCCCACTTCAAGGACTGTAGCCTCTGTGCATAGGGCCTGCAGTTTAACCACTAGACTATCTAGCACCCCATTGTTTTCACTTTTTACAGATACAATCTTGATTTAAAATGAAATATTTACACATACTTTAACTTCCATGACGTTGAATTACTGTGACTATTGGAGTTTTTTTCATTGGATAGAAGAGCTATGAAGTTTTACACTGATTATGTTTCACATAGACCATTATAAGTGAAAGATAAATAGATATTGAAGCTGTTTTATTTATACAGATTATTATCACCATGCTCAATTGTTTTGCACAAAAGCTGCTGTTATTACTTTATTCATCTATTCATTCAAGAGTCAAAGCTTCATTATTTTCTTAGAAATAATAACTATAGTCTTTAGTCAACCCTTATCATCGTGTATCCACGTCTTATAATCAAAATATAATTACACACTACTTTAGTTAACATATTTATTCAACATACAAGTTTTGGTGTGCTTCTTTGACAACATATTGTTGTTCTGTTCTACTAGAAGTCGTGAGATAATCCTAATGATTTGACATATTTATTGTTAAAATTGTAAATGGTATTTTTCCTTTTTTTGTCATAAGATGTGATAATTATGATCTTTAGAAAATATAATATATAGTGACAAAATACATGACAAAAGTTAAGTAAACTTAAGTATGGCTGAAATTACTCTTTGTGCCATATATGTGATGTATGTGTTGTATTTACTTAACATAGGAAATGTACTACACTATTTTTCCACAGTCCTTATGATAAAAGCTTCCTTAATATCCTCTTCATCCACACAGCATCCTGTGTGACAAACGAACAGGTGCCTCATACAAGTGCATTTCTGATCTAATTAGACATTATTGTTTTATTTTAACACTGTTTCTGTTGAAAAGTACGGTAATTAATAAAACTGTATTAAGATTTGTTTGTTTTTCTGTTGTGTCTCTGTATAACACACGCTTTGCTGAAACCTGTGGTTTGACAAAGACTACAGAGTAAGAGAAAATGTAACACACAGTCTTTGCTTTCATTCAGGGCAGTGTTTAAAAATATCAACGACACAAGTGTAGCTCTTGTGAATGCTGATAGATTGCTTCAGTGTTTGTTGTTGTTGTTTTTTTTTTTTTTAGTAAATAGCTCCCTCTAGTGGCCAGTCTGAAATACCATTTCCTGCTGTTTTTGTCAGACAAGAATGCAATTTAAGACTTCAAGAGCGAAATTGATTACTTTTACATTTTAATTAAATAAAAGTGGGACAACAAGAAAAGGGTTTACACTTGAATTATGTGCTCTGTCTTTTTCGGGGGGGGGGGTTTCTTCAACTTTATTTAATTATACCCTTTTTGGGGACGCTTTTTGGGGACATTTTGCTGGAAAAATAAGTGTTGTTGGGCTTACTAAACTCTCAAGACTAGGAGACCCAACTATCCAGCTTCATTTGCTTTCCCAAGTGTTTTGTATTTTGTATTATATATTCTGTCCACTGTAGCAGGTCTGTCCATCCAATAAAGGAATAATTCCACCGGCTTCTTCTCAGGTTTGCAAACTCTCCAAAATTACTACAAACATGGCGACCGAGGGCTTCATGAGGAGGGAATAAATAAGGGACTTACCTGAATAGACTTACCTGAATAAATGAGGGATTTACCTGGCGCAAATTAAACTAGCTGCAGAATACCAAACGTCTAATGGTAAAGTTAACAAGGTGTTCACACAGGAGGTGGGAAAGTTAGTGATAAAAGGTTCAGGGAAAGTTAAAGGGGAACTCATACGATGGTCAGGACCAAACTCAAAGTGAATGCTTTACACTGACGCTCTAAGTTGGCTGAATGGGTAAGTAAAACTATTATTTGCTTACAAGTTGCAAAACTTTTGGTGATGCATTTTGTTTACAACAGACAGTTAAACTTGTTAATCTGGGAATAACATGTGATATTGACATCTGTAACTCGTTTAGGTCTACAATTGCATCTTAACATAGTGGATACATTATTATCATTAAAAATATACCGGCTACTGTGAAAAAAATCTAAGGTAGGCCTATAGTTGCCGCCCTGTGTTAAGGTTTCATTTCCCCTAGTGGCCAAAAAAAAAAAAAAAAAACAAGAGCATGATACAAACTACGGAATAACATTACTGACTTGACTATATGACATTTTGGGGTCCAAATTTAATATTTCAGGCAAGAAAGGGCTTTCTTTGACATAGAGGATTACTGCAAAGACCACAGCAGAGTTTGATTCACTGGATCAACATCTTCTTTAATACTAGCCTACCTGTTTATTATTAAACGTGCATTGTTACAGATGATACTACAACTTAGATAAAACGTAGTAGAATACGGCTGTGTTATATAGTCAAAGATTAGCTTCAGTCAAGTTGTTCATCAAGCTAAAACAAGTAAATCTGACCTGCCAAGTGCCATCACTGCAGAGAGAGTAGAAAATGTATTTTAACTGATAAGAGGCAGATTCATTGAAATGGAAGATAAGGTCAGACAAAGGTCTCTACTGCTACAAAGAAGGATGAGAAGAAGCTCAGATAAGGCAGAAAAATTACATGATGTGCACTTTTTTTTTTTATTCTTATGAGACTTGGTGTGGATGTGCAAGAGATATTCCTCTGTGCATTTTTTTCTGCTTTCACCTCTGCCTGTTTTTATAGTAATGCAATGCATGCTGATATTTTGTTACACACAAATCAGGCATAGTTTTTAGTTAGTGACTTCGTTCTACATTGTTTTGTTGCCTAACAGACCTTGAATGCAGCATACAGAATATTCTTTACACAACACACTCAAAAACAGACACCCTATGAAGCAAGTTTTCTCATTATTGACAGTCTACAGTTTAAACAGAGCAGCCATAAAATATATAATCAGATGAGTGTATCTTAACAATTCCCTGTAGGTGGTAAAATATCAAATATCAAAGGTCTACTTTATCAACAATAGCCAGATTAAGGTCAAAGGTATCGTTGTAAATGCAATATCAGAAGTGTCATCACTGCTTTTTGTACAAAGCAATTACGTCTTGTGCATCCACTCTGCTGAGTGATAAGAGGTTAAACAAATTACATCAGGTTAACAGTCATTTTTTACTCTTCTACTACTTTTTATTCTTGTAACAGGTTGTTAAGTTTGTTTGTTTTTTTCTCACATCTTAAGGTTCAGAGGCACCATGCCTTAAAAACATGACAGTGCTTGTAGTTTAATGTCAAAACAAAGGAGGGTTTTGTCCCTGCATGTAAAATCCCCGCAGCTCTGCACTGAATTCTGCAGATATAGTTAAGCTGCACAATGACAACACCCTTTGTAAACACAGTTACGGCTATAACAGGATTTCAACCATTCAAAAAAATATCATCAGTCACAGTTTGTTGGGATATGGGAAAGTTCTCTCTAGAACCATAATGCTCAGTCAGTTGCAGTGGTGGGCATTGCCTTAAGAAAGTGTAAACTTTAAACGGCCACATCAGCAGTCAGATGGATGACGAGATAAGAAGAGAGCATGGTTTAAAAGGGGTGGCGGACTTTGAGTAAGTCACTCCTTGCTGCAGAGTCGTCCTGTTCACCCTCAACCTCGCCGCCACCGCCACCATGACCTTCAACGGCACCTGGAAAATCGATCGCAATGACAACTACGACAAATTCATGGAGAAAATGGGTGAGTGATGCAAAAGTGCCGTTAAAATGCTGAAATGACTGTGTTGCATGTTTTATGAGGACTATGATGTGTTGTTAAAGACAGCTGCAGGGTTACCATGGTTACTTTCTGTGTTTAAGATAGAATATTATAATGAAGACATGATAAGGCAGTTATCACATCTCTAATAAAGTGCAGCTAGCTCGCAAGACTAATTTAATAAATATAATTTGTTAAGTTTTTAAAAAATCTGTTATGCAGAGGACTGACACTTGCACCAATGTTCTTTTTTTGTTTTTTTTAAATAAAACATATTATTTAATTTCTGCAATCACAATGCATGTTAAAGGTTAAGTCTTTTAAAACACACATTGTAAAAAAATTAAACCAAAAACTAGAGCTTAGGTCCCCTTTGAACAGAATTTGAAGCACAATTACCCACTTAACATGTCTGTCTTCTGACTTATGTACACATTGCCCTCTGCACACAAACAATGGAACTACCTGTGCATGAAAATCGATTAAATCCTGACACCCTTCCTCTTATTGTTCTAAATATCCATTGTGTTTGTTGATAGGAATCAACATGGTTAAGAGGAAGCTGGCTGCTCACGACAACCTCAAGATAACCCTTGAACAGACTGGAGACAAGTTTCATGTCAAGGAAAGCAGCAATTTCCGCACCCTGGAATTAGACTTCACCCTGGGGGTCACCTTTGAGTACAGCCTTGCGGATGGAACAGAACTATCAGTAAGCTAAAGTTGCATCTACTGTGGGGTATTTTTTTTTAAGAAATACAAGTTTTCAATCATGTTTATTTAACAGGTTTATATACACTAATCATTTTATTCCAAATATGAAGAGGCTCATGTAGAGTTAAAAAACTTTTAGACTTTGACCCTTTGAGTTGCATGAAAGAGTGAATTTGTTTGCTAAGTAAACTATCCATAAGTCAACATCTGACTTCATATTTGTACCCTTGAGCCAAGTTGATTTGAACTTCATACCATTAACAGCAGCTGCCAAAAAACTGTCAGCCTGCACTGCCTGCCCTCTCGCTCCGTAACACCTCTCCCATGTAGTACACATGTCATGAGTTAACATCGTGTTTGATGCTGCAGGGCTCTTGGACCATCGAGGGAGACTCGATGAAGGGAGTTTTCAACCGAAAGGATAATGGAAAACTACTGACAACAGTCCGAACTATCCAAGGAGATGAGCTCACACAGGTAAAGTTAATGACTATGCAAATTAAGGCACACAAAAAAAAAATCCCCATGGTCATAGTTGCATAGCTGCGTAAATGTTTTTGAAGTATTGTTTATCTGATATTGCAGCTGTCAGTCCGTTTGTAAATCTAGAGTTACCTGTTACTGTAATCTGAGTTCAACAGACATCTAATGTCCCAACTGAAATACAAAATATCATTACTGTAGTTGTAAATCCTTCTCTTTTTTTGCAGATACATTCACAGACTATGAAACTGTAAAATAACATTGTGATATTTTGTGTCAACAGAGCTACAGCTATGAAGGTGTGGAGGCTAAGAGGATTTTCAAGAGGGGATAGACTGAACCCATCATTATGAACTACAAAGTGGATGTTGGACTTCAAGATTACATCAAGTATTGTGTTGAATTATCAACTACTTATGCCAGAAAAAATACTTTAAAAAGAGCACTGTCTGTAATGGATATACAGTTTATGAACCCGTTTGGAACAACACAGGATTTTGATACCTGCAAAAATAAAAGCCATAATGTAACTGAGTGTTTTTTTTATGTTCTCTTGAGTTTTATTTCTTGAAAAACATTTCTATGAGAATACGAGAGGCTTGTAAGTACAGAAGACAAACACAGTGAAGTGACTTATTTAAGAGTGATACAATAATTTATTCAACAATGAATAAAAATAAAATATATATAATGTACAAAAATATAAAGTGTCGACAGATTTCACATGATTCTTTAGATTGATCTGTACGTACACAAGTCATGAAGCATTCACTGAAGCACCACCAACTCAATTCAATAGTCATTTCAGGCTTAATCCCAACCACACACAAGAGGTGTATGAAACGAGGATACAGTTCCCACACATCAGGCCTCATCAGCCAGTAACATATCAGATACCATCATTGACAGAATGCGTAGAATTCTCTTTTGTTCTTCAGTGTTGATGCCAGAAAGTCTAATTAAGCTCTGTCGCTTTAAAAGTGAAAAGAAATGGGTCGATGCAATGCCAACTGCGACTTATGTGACACAAGAGAAATCCTTACTGCGATGGATCATGGATGCAGAAGGAAAACAATTATGAGTTTTCTTTTCCCAAACTCCCACGCAAACAGTTTCACAGGCATGCAGGCAAATTTATTAATGACTTAAGTTTAGCACTGAAAAAATATTTCAGTTGTTCTACATTAAAGCTCTTCCACACTTGGAAAGCTTTGTCACCCAGGAGGTGGGATGAACTTCCCACTTTCTGCAGCTGAAATTGTATCACATCAACTTTTGCCAATTGCAGCGGATTACAGAATGAACAGAACGTTTGCTGCTTTCCCAAGACGGTCAAAGCTTCCAAGCCTGAAAGGGCATTTAGGGATACTTAGAGAAAACTGGACCTGGCACTAGTCCTAAGCCCTTAGCTCCCCCCACTGCCACACATACACAAACACACACACACACACATACAGTACAATGTTGGTCAGATATGTCACTTTTAGCATTGCATATTTAAGTTTTCATGACATCCTATAATCTCTTTCATTCATCGCCCTCATTCCTAATTGTGGTTTTTGCTAACAACATACATGAACCACTGAAAATGTCAAGGCACTCTTGATACAACTGAAGACACAAAATTCAGAATCTAAAATACAGCTTGAGTGAAAACAACAAACTCCTAATGTAACAGATAAAGAAAATAAATGAGTGACGGGACAGGTACTGTGAAAAAAACGATAAAACCATTAGTCTCTCAAGACACAACAAAACCAAATAGCAGGGCGACAACATTAAGAAAACCTGGTTAATATACTCTGACTCATCATCTAATCCAATAGTTTAACAGTTTGGATATCTTTATAGAATGTAAGATATCCTAAAATGAGAGTAAAGCGAATGATTTATCTTTAATCGAGCACAATCAGCTTGTATAAAGGCATCTTTATGTCATTTGAGCGATTAGACCCCTTAAACATCAAGTCAATTCTTAAGGTAAGTGTCCTTGTATGCCTTCATTTTCTTCAAATCAAGCAGTGTACATAAATTAACCATGACCAATTCAAGCAGATGCTTAAATGATCAGTGAAGTGCGATGTAACACACACACACACTTAAATCTTCTTTTGGTGTCAGACAGCACAAGCACAACACACACAAACACAGCAAATTGAGTGATTAAATGAGTTTGGTTAGAATAGTTGAGAAATACCTGGACAAAGGTTATTGAAGTTAGACAAAAGTGCTATGTGGAAAAAAAATAAATAACTGGCAGGGTGTTTAGGAAAAGACTTGGCAACATAGTGAGCACAAGAGAAAGTTAATATCAACACTTGAAAATTCATCAACACTGATTCGTATATTGTTGGGAATGTCTGATTTACATAATACAAAGCATTAAAAGTACCAAAATCTGTTTTAAAATCATCACAAAGTAATTTTTAGTGAATGCATAGTATGTCTTGGAGAGTTAACTGTTTTTCCAGCGTACTGTGTGCATCATATTTTTATATGTACAATGGATGCATAATCAAAAGTACGTGTCCTTGCATGGACACAAACAAGAGGAAAAGTTTCCAAAATAGTAACAAATCTCATGAATTCAATACAAATCGGTTTAATCAAATAGAATGTATGCCCCAGTGTAATCATGCTCATGCTAATGCTGTACACAGAGCTAGTAAGACTTTGTAAAGGCCACATGCAGGTTTCAGAACATTAGTCTTATGAACGAGAATCATTTTTGTGGAGTATGCTCAATATCAGGTAGCCATATTAATTTTTGTTGGCATCATTAGGGAAAAAAAACCTGCAAATACCGACCTGTTCAAATCTGTCTACTTTGAAAGGAAGACTGCAAAAATACAATTTGACATCACCGCAAGTTACAAAAAGAGGATTACAAGAACCAGCACAATGAAGGTAGAGTACACACGGAGAGATATGGTCGTACAGTATATAGTGACCTTTAAATGAACCGAGGGCTCCCACTACAGAAGATTATAGTCACTATAGGATCTGTTGACAACCAGAAAGTGGATCACTCAGTCCTGCAGAATCACATTTTGAAGAAAACATTGTCTCCCTAAGATCTATACATGTTTATGAATGGCAGCATTACGTTTGCCTATAATCATTCAGGAAATTAACATTTGAAATAAAACAAAACTGAACAAGGATCTTTGCCGACATATCTTCTTCTTTTTTTTTACAGCCAATGAGGTTTGGTGTCAATGGGGCAGCCACAGTCACTCATTAACACACAAATGTTGTCAAAGAACTGATAAATGATAACAGTTGAAACAAATCAGTAACTGAATGTTGCAATGCCTCTTCCTGGTGAACTTAAGCCCTCAACGTGCATAAATTGGTGGCTGTCCTGATATAAACCCTTCAACAGTTTGTCGTAAATTTAAACCTGCTGCTTCAAATTCTTCGCTCTGTAGGTTTTCTTCGACTGTGTATAATGACATCATGTATTTATAAAGTGTCTTTCACATATTGTTTCATGTCAACATGCAGTGATTTTTCATCCCGCTCTCTCCTTCCATCTGTTTATAATAACTACACCAAACTGTACTTCATCAAAGTGTGGCTCCCTGTAAACTCTCATGCCGCTCTTGTGATATGCAGGTGAATCTTCATTTCTGCAACACTTCTGCAGACTTACTTTAATAGTAAAAAAATAAACATATTCGATTAGAGATCAGGTGACAAAAAAGAATCAAGACTAAAATCCCCTTTGTGCAAACTGAAAAGATTCTGGTATCAACAAAATCTGCTTTCAGCAATACTGCGGGATAATGGAAGACAGTTTACATGGCAGGTGACAATCCTTCAAACAAAATGCAACAGCATTTAGAAACAGCATTTATTTATGTGACAAGCTTGCATAAACATATTCCGCTCTATTTGGAGATGTCTGGCTTCAGGACAAATTTCCATTCTGTAAACTCTTTGGCATCCAGTTGGTACTCTACTGACCGCTGCTCATCCGTGTAAACAAACTTTACCAAGTAACACTCATATAAAACCACGTTCATCCAGTCCTTTGGCTGTCACTGGGTTCCATTTTGCAGTGGGTTTATTGCTATTATGGCCTGCAAAGAAACAAAAATGAATAAATAAATGAAAATCTAGTTTATATTGTGTTCGATGGTTCATCCTATTTACATTTAAAGCAAATCTGGTCATTTAGTCTTATTCAAGAAACAGGTAGTAGAGGGGAAAATAAATAAAACTTTTACATCATTTTAGATGGCATAATATTGTGATATAGATTTTTATGATATGATTTAATTGTTTCTGTTCTGGAAGATTATTGGGTGGTGTTGAAATTTATTAAAAAAAAATGTGAATGGATTCTAAATAGGCAGGAATGTACCTGACAAATCAAGACATTTTTTATAATATGGATCTTAAAATCTATTTATGCCAATCCTTAGTCCTGCTGTTTGAATACTAACATCGTCCTCAGTGGCCACAACAAGAACATATGAAAGGAAATCGGCTCATTTTTAAACAGTATAGCTAGGTCTCAGATGGTTGAATTGAGGTTTGCAAGAGAGGCTTACTTGTTTCAGGTCTTGCTTTTGGCACATCTTGTGAGTGTGTGTCAGTGGGGAGTGTGTGGCTGGTATCTCTGCGCTCTGTCACTACCACTGTCCGCGGTACTGTGGCAGAGAGGACAAGAGGCCTCTGGTTGTGGTACTTGAGACGGTACGTTTCCGTCATACAGTTATCCACATTGAAGTACGTTGTCAGAGAAACCTCTTGAGATGGCACCGCCTGTTCGCCCCTGCACAGTCTTTCCTCACTTTCACATGATGACGGGGTGCTCCTTTCCGGGTCAGAGCCTGACTTGGAGCTTGCATCTGAGAGGGCTCTAAGGCCTGACATGTCAGGCTTCCTGTGAGGACTGACAAACGATGTAGATGAGAGGCGAGGACTTGAGGGAAAGGTCTCTTGAAGCATCCTCGGACGAAACACTGCGTGGCTTGTTTCGCCCTGATGAGGAGGGATGCGCTGGGATGTTCGGAGGTGAGGCGACCCTGTTGTGCCCGGCTGACGCTGATTGTTCAGTTGGAGAGGCTCTGCTGTCACGTTGCTGGGAGGGTGGTACGGTAGAGTCATGTGAGGACACTGGGACTCAGAGGCGACCGACTCACTGTTGCTGGAGCGGTAAGAGTTTTCTCTATCCTCGGGCTCAGAGAGAGCAAGATCGTCGGAGCTGTTCCATTCTGAGCTGCTGGTTTTTGTGATGTGCCTCAGGGCTGTACTTTCTCCAGTGTGCTGCTCACTCTGCCTGTTATCCGAGCTATTGGAGTCCCTCTCTGAAGACGCTGCTTTTCTGGAGGTACTAGAAGTGTACTTTGACTTCCGTCTACAAGAGAGATGTGTTGCACAAAACGATGGAAATCATCACTTTATATTGCAGAGTTCTATTTATTAGACACGTTCAATATTATTTATTATACAGGCCTCTACCTTGAGCTCGGACTGCACTTTAGATGTGAATGTGAAATTTGGTCATGGTTTTTTCCCTGAGGT